GTAAACCAGGGGTGAACGCGAAAGTCATGTGACCACGAAATACGCGAATGTTGAGAATTTGCGGTCACATGACTTTCGCGCTCAAACCTCGTTAACATAATTTATATTTATTTTTCAAGAATTTTTCATCAGAATCGCAACAGACTGCAAGAAAGTTTAGCAATGGGGTAAATAGGCAATATAAACTCTATAATACAGAAATTCAATTGATTGATTGATTGGTAATTATAATAAATTACCACTAACTAACTTTTTGGAAATTCTGAGTATGCAGGGAATGTACAAAATGGGACAAATCTTTTTCAATGACTCTGCTGGTAGATCAACCTTAACTAGACCTTAAGAAGCAATGGTGGTGAAAGTTAGTGAACCTGAAAAGATTTCTTTGTCTTCAAAATCAACTGAAAAGAGAACATCAGTTGGAACCAAGAAATCTCAAATGTCATTGCTTGTAGGCGCTGTTAAAAGGAAAAGGTATTTTACTGTAAACTCCTTGAGCACTATAATTTTTGTGACAGACAATTTTGCTGCAACATTTTGACTATTTTTATGTTTTTTTCAATATTTTATGAAACTTTTAAACCAAATAGACATAATTTCCTATTGACTGTTTTGATCAAAATTTTCAAAAAAATTATATAAAAATTACGTGGGTTTAAAATTTGTGATTGGTATGAAATTTGACACTGGTGCTCAAAGAGTTAATTTTTACTAATTTTTTTTTTGTTAAAAACTTTCTTGATTTGACGATTTGATGACATTTGCACAGACAGTATGAAGCAGAAGTTGTTGTGACTGTATTTTCTTAGGATCCCAAAGAATTTCACTGCTACATTTAATGATTTTCAGACTCATGAAAATTTGTCTCTAGTGAAATTAAAGCAATTTACAGATTTCTATCGAGTAGGTTTGATTCAGTGGGAATTAAAAAACATAAATAATGTAGACAACATCACAGTCATGCCCTTGTATTCCCAGTGATTGGCTTACTCTAGCATTAATACCAAGTTAAATTTACAGATTTGGAATAGATAATTAACCCTTGTACCTTTATTTACAAGTATCCAATTTAAAGTAGCTGATCTGGTTCGGTCTGAAACAGCAACTGTATTTGTATATCTCCGATAGAACAGCAAATAAATGAACAATTGCATTTATTGTATTCTGGATTATTCAAATATGACCCATTATGACCATAGACACTCCTTTATCATTTATGCAAGTGCATGCGCTTCTAATAGTGCAGATATGGTATTTCAGTTTTTGATTGAGTTCATACAATTAATTCAAGAGTTTGTAAGTATAAGCACACATTACAAAAATGTTTATATACCATATTTGCTCTATTAGAAGTGCAACTTCTATAGAAATGTACATGCACTAAAAAATGTGTTTATTGTACATTGCATCACAAACATTAGACTAATCTCTGTAATTTACATAAATGCATGTGCTAATAATAAAACGAATATCATAACCACTTTCTTAAATGTATATCTGAGAAAATCTATTGCGTCACCATTTCAATAATCATCATATCTCTCTCTTGGATGTTTCAGGAGCGATAGCGGGGGAAGTCCTGACAAAAAAACAAAACAGTTAACTGTCAGCACACCAGAGGAGAAATCCGACAATCACGAAAAACACACAGAGGATTCAAAAGATGAGACGAATACACAAAATAATACCACTGCTCAATACATAGGATTTCTACCAGGTCTTGGTGTATACTCTGATAGCAGTGACTCAAACTCCTCAAGTAGTGACTCTGAAATTGCAGTTGGGTCTCATGCAAGTGTATTAAAGAAATAAGTCATTCAGTTCTCAGTTTTTATCTTTTGTCATTCAGTTCTCAGTTTCTATCTTTTGTCATTCAGTTCTCAGTTTCTATCTTTTGTCATTCAGTTCTCAGTTTCTATCTATCAATTATTTACTAATAAAAATAAATTCTTGAATTTTACATAAATTGACGAGATATTAATGGTTTTATTGTTATTGACTGATGGAAAACTGATGACATCACAGCATTCTCTGATCACATGAGCCTTCATCAGATCACAGATGTCCTCCTAATAGAGAAAATACCCAGGTCACATAAACAAAAAGAAATGTAAATGACATCTGCAGCATCCAGACTAATTTTAGAAAATCCATTAATATTTGGAAAATTGGTTTATTATATTTACATGGCCAATAGTAACCATTTAATTCTCATTGGTACCTGTAATAATTCCCCAACTTGTTGCTGAAAAAACAAATTATTCAGCAGCGCATCGGAAAATATTCATCATGAACTTGTGATGTAGTTTCATACATATACCAATGATTACAAAATTTATACTATGAACCATATAAACGATACAATAAAAAACTTTTTTTCTTAATATTAAATGATTTTTCGAAATTGAATCAGACATTGTTTTATTCTGCCATCATCCTCATCAGTCGGTCGATATTTGTCATTCAGTTTTGTGTATTTACAAGCAAAATGGACAATAGTTCAAAATCTTGGTTATCTTTATTATTGTATTGTTGGATGGATATGCCATTGAAAATGTCAGTCCTCGTCTCTTCCATTTGTATGACAAATGAATGGTCAGCGAGCCGCACGCTGAACTGTGTGCCTCGGACTGCAAGACAATATTGGCAAATTAAAAAAAAAAAATGGCTGCCAGAAAGCCATCTTGGATTGAAAAAAGGATACGTATCTTTCATTGATGTGTAAAAACACAAATTGTTCGTGTACCATGGTTGATTATGTACTGTAAACCACTTAATTTTCACAATTTCCTAATGTTATGGCATTCATGAAGACAAAATGTTGAAAAAATCAATGACACTTCATGTTGTAAGTACCCCACAAAATTGTCACTGCTACAAAATTTGATGTTTTCAAGTTCATAAAAATTTGTTTTACAAAATTAAGGCAGTTTCAAGTATGTCCGTAGGCACAGCAAAGATCAACAATCACATATTTATAGGCAAAATCCAATCCACAAGTCTCCAGTCAGGAGATGGTCAAAGAAAGCTTAGAACTTCCTTGTGCTGCAGTATTGGATGCATATGAAGTAAATTAGTGAATATTTAAAATTAATAATTTAAGATTTGGTATTTAAACGAAAACCCTGTTGGCTGATATAACTCTGCTCTTTGAAATGTATAGTGTAAAAGCAGTCTGATCCACAGTACTGAAATTCATAATACTACGGTAACAAAAAACTCAATAAATTTGATTGTACCTATATGTATGCACCAACATCAGAAAGTTGCTTAGTATATGCAAAGTAGGTGATTAATATGCTTGGTTTTAACCCAAATCACACCCGTGGAATACAACAGAGCACCTGTGTACCTAGTTTCATTGAAATATAGTTTTTTAAATATATCATTAAAAAAGCTACAAATTAATTCTGCAAATCAGGTAATTAATATGCATAGTTTTAAACCAAAAATCAGGTATACACCAGGTTTCATTCGAATCTCAGTGGTTCTTGAGATACCTGTGGAACAACACAAAATTGGCCGATGTAAATTGGGTAAAAAATAAGCATTGATTTCAACTCAATACTGTGGTCTGTGGATACTTGTGCACCAAGTTTCATTGAAATCAGACTGGGCTTCTTGAGATATTATGCAAATTAGGTAATTAAAATGCACAGATTTCTACCTTTAAGTAATCATGTGGATTATCCCAGAGCATGCAAATGCCAAGTTTCATTGAAATCTGTCAAGTGGCCTTTGATACACGTGCATCATTGGGACAGCTGAAAATTGGCTATTATGCAAATTAGGTAATTAATAAGTACAGATTTCAACCAAAAACCCAGAGTATCTATGTACCATGTTTTATTGATTCCTAAGTGGAGTTAAGATATCAGTTGAACAGACAATGAATCAATAAGTATTTTTTGACAAACAAAATGACTGTCAGTTGGTAAATTTCTGAAAAATAATGCTCTACACACATAAAATGTAGGTTTCTTAAGGCTATTGGAGCAAAATGGAAGTCTGTCATTTCTAATCATATGTATACCATGCATCAACTACCGGTATGTACCAAGATTAGAAAAAAATCTGCCCTTTAAGAAAGGGAAGGACACGCACAACCCAATCAAAAAGGCCATTATAAGCTGTCATTGTATTTCAAAAGTAAACAAACTTTACACCTGTTAAAGGCAAGACAAGTGTCTAGAATGATTCAAATTTGTTTCACAATTCAATGAGACAGTCACCAAGTTGAGGTATATCAAAATAAGGTGCAACTGTAATTGTTAATAGTATGGATTCCTCGATTTGTTAATAATACTGTCCGTTAATATTTACCACACTTGAAACATTGACGTTACTGGTTCTGTCAAAACAGTGCAAACTTGGTATGATTCTAACATTGGCAAATAATAGAATGTCACAGAAATTGTTCTGGTGTGTACTGTTATGTGCACTGAAGATGGGAGCAGCACACAGAGACAATGACTATGTCCTTTTCATTTGGATGCCACAGTACCAATTCTTCTTGTGCTCTGCAGACACACTAACAATTATGATGTTACATCGCAAATTGTTCTGATAATGCATATTTACTGATAGGAATACACTAGTACAGCCAGACATTAGTTTAATTCAAACAACTGTTTCGTTTTAATTTTCCATCACACTGAAAATACACTAATATACAGAGATGTGCAAGCAGCATTAAATTACTACATTACATGCGCAGTGTACATCAGAAACTAAGCAGGAAAAATGATTTTATTTGATAGGAATCTAGATGATTTCATATCGGATATAAAGTACTGTTCGATCTAGCATTTCACGTCTCAAACTGTAGAAATCTTTATATTAAGCTGGAATATACTGCACACTGTCCTAAGTCATGCTTAGTTTACAACAAACACTGGCCTAAACTTGACTTTCTTTCCCTTTTAATAGTTGTTTTTCCTCTTCAACCAGCCTGTCCCATCGGTTTTTTTCCCACTGTTTTCTCTTCTCGTATCTTGCAAAATATGTTGGGTACTGTGCTCTCTCTGATGGGTGCCAGAAATCAAGTACCTGAAACATATATATATGTTATCATACATCTGTCGTATCTCTACAACTTACAGTGGTATAATCACAGGGTATCTGCATTCTATGTACTTGGGGGGAAAAGCAAATTCCAAATATGAAATTGATTACAGTATTTTCAAGATGACGGTCATCAGGCTATTAGCCAGGAATTTTCAACTGCCAGTCCAAAAAAATTCAACTTCATGAAAATGTAGACGGTTTTGGATATATTTTGGAAAAAACAGAAAAATGGGAAAAAAGTTGCCAGTCCAAAAATTAATAGGGAAATAGTTTCATTAATTTTCACTACTTGCTGAGCTCATACACCAAGTGGTGATCAGGCAGGTGTATAAATAACAAGATAATGAAGAGGAAACCACAAGTATAATGTACATGGACATACACTGATACAGTACATAGTCGCATTGACCCATGCTTCAAACTGGTTGATATTCCCACTGTATTTTCTTTGTGCATGCTTTGAAGTATCTTTGTAATAACCTCATATTTTTGACATATGAATAGGTTTCACACAATTATATACTAATACTTTCATTTTTCTCTATTTTTGAATTCAATATCTCTAAGCTGCATCAATTTGCCTTAATTAACATAACACTACAGTACATCAAGATTCCATGATCTGAATAGACAATGAAAACAGATGTATGCTCTATTAGATGCATGTCTCTAATATGGGAGTGCTCATAAACCTAAAATTGCATTTATTGTAATACTAAATCATAAAAATATGACTTATTTTGAAAAACTAATATGGTATACAGAAATTCATTATTTTGGGGAAATAAACCGTGAAACACCAAGAGAGTTATGCAGCACATGTTTGAATTTTGTGCAATAAATAAAACTGTCAGTCACACGCTGTCATTCTATTAAATATGTTGCAAAGGCATAGAATATCACACAACACATCCTGCATAGCAAGTCATGTGACATATGAACCACAAGCACAAAATTACCACTAAATTTGACCTGGATTCTTGTTCTTCACATACAGTGCTCATTTCGCCCAACCTTCTACCTGCTTCCGAATTTCGCTCGCTTTGTTCAATTCGACCGCACAAATTCGCGAGTATCCACTCGCTCGCTCGTCTGACAGTGGAACCGCACACATTTATAGTTCATTAACTATTGTTTCATGTACAAGTGTATCATTTTTGTTTTTTATGATGTTAAAAGAATAAATACAATCAGAAATTTATAGAACGACCGTTGAAAAAATACGGTGGATCACACTGCCATATCAAATTGGTAATACATACACGTAGTAATAATGTCCACCATAAACAAGATTGAATCAAACATGTGAAATCAAATACGACACAGACACAACTAATATGAAATAAAACCATCTATTCTTGGTGGAGAGCAAAAAATGTCTTTGAGTAACCGTGTGTAGGGTGACGGTTGACACGTTCAAGTATCTAACTTTCTGATAAAAAAAACGTGATTAGTATTTTTTGATGTTTTAGCGAGTACTCTGCGGGGTATATAGCGTGTTCTCACATTAGCATAATTTTCCTCAGGTTCACTCATCGCTTTCCCACATGCATTTCTCATCCTTTGCTGCCAACTTTTTTTGCGCTCTTATTTGTAATATGTTGTTGTTTTTTGTCTTTCTGAATTTTTAATTTGATGGCGGTTCGAATCTATCCACTTTTACCATGATCAATATTGCGTTCGAGTTGAGTTACTAGTAATTACAACCCTGATTTACATTTGTGTTTTTCGTCAATTTATTAAACATAAGTGCTTTGGGAAATAGCATAATTATATTGCGTGAGTGACAGAGGCTGGTGAGACTGTGTCACAACATGCGCCTCTGATTGCGTTTATTTTGTAATTTTATTTTCGAAATGTATCACTGGCTGCGTTTGGGTAGTTTTATGTTTTCCTCAACAATTAACTGTTCTGAGATCTTTCATTTTTCCTTCGGCTGCTGCCAATCCAATAATTCGTTGCCACATGTACTCAGACAAGCAAGTAATTTTCAGTCATTATACTAGTAGTTAGAGTCCAATTGATTTGTGGAAATTCAGCTATGCGATGATTATATGTGCAGTTTTGTTTTGCGCAACCAGACATGAGCAAAAGTTAACCTGATAGATTTTCTGAACTACAGCATTCTTATGCAAATTGAGTAAAGGTCATAGTGTGAGTTGTGTTCGCAAATAACAAAGTGTCAAATTATTTTGAGCGCAGTTTGAAATAAATTTAGTTAAAATCACACACAGAAACACACACACAACACACAAATACTAGTACTCAATACATATCATGATTGACCAGTTATATAGCTGCTTGAACTACACACATAAGGACGTAAATATGTAAATAAAGGTCACAGTTCAACTTGCGTAGCAATGTTACAATGTGTCAAGTGATTAGAAGGCGTCTTTGTCCCCCCTTCCTCCAGCGGTCGGTTAACAAGCGTACGATGTTTCTGAAGCCAGCCATAGCAGGAGTGAGCAAGCAAACAAGAGCGAGCGAAAAAATGCAGTTGGTTTCCGGTCGGAAATTAAACGATCGGAAAAAAGGCGGTAAAAGTGGGAGGTTGGGCGGAATGAGTACTGTAAATGTAAAACATGCCTTGGCAGACCTTGGTGGTAGTTTATTGACACATGTTAACCCGAAGACTCCTGAATACACTGAGGTAAAATTATCTGACACACACTATAAAGGACTAAGCAATGAGACTGCAATAATAATGATAACATGTATTTTGAGGTCATTTTAACAACATAATCTTTTCATCCTTTGTCATATTTGTATCCAATATTTACATACCCACTCAGGAGCTGGCAAGTCTCTTTCATGTCTTGTACCTTCAGGTGAGTCAATAACTAGAAGTAAAAAAAAAAAAAAAAATCTAAGAATCAAATGACATTCAATGTTAGCGATGGAATACGGGCAGGGCAGTCAAGATTGATATACTTTTAGAATTCACGGAGGTCATGAGGTAAATTGCCTTGATGCTCAAACTGACTGCCAAAACAATATTAGCGTTGAATAGTGGCTTGTTAAAGTCTTGCCATTTCTAATTACAAGTAAAGTATTTAAGAATAATACAATTTCTGGTTAGGGTTGGGGTGGGTATAGTGGGGGGAGGGTCTGTATAGTTCAAGGGTGAAGTTTTGGCACAGATTTGGGATTGAGACATTGTTATAAAATAATAATTATACCAGTATTTGAAATACATTGTTTTAATCATGCAAGCTGTGGATAAATAGATGATATAACATGATTTTCCGAGTTTAGAAGTAGGCCCCAAATGTGAATAACACACAGAAGGGTTAAATCCTTCTGTCAACGGAAATAGGCAAAAATAATATTTTGTGCTATGGACATAGCACACAGTGGGTAAAATTGCGACCCTTGGGTATTTGGGATTCAAGAGAAGCATGGGAAAAATTATTTTTCCGAAATATGCAAATGACGCGAACAAATGGTTACCATCTGCAGTGAAGAGCTTGTGTATGGCCCTGATTGGAATTTGTATTTTTTAGTCCACTTGAGACGATTTTACATATACAAAAGTTACGGCTAACAAACACAAATAAACCTTGAAATGCTGAAATAACAGTGTAAATTTGCACCATCGCTGTATGTTACTAATATATAGCAAGTTCCAGGGTCCATTTCATTTAATCATGGCTGCAAGTACTATTTCAGAGGCTGTATCACATTTGACCAGTTCACTTCATATACACACTTCGCTATGTTATGAAACTGGTCAAATCTTGTGGTATAGTCACCTCTGTAGGATGAAGGGTGGTACATTGTACATGTAATTTAGTATTTACAACAAATATATTTGTGAACAGAAGATACTTACATATATACGGTTGTGGATGTTGATTTTTGTAGAATTCTCCTTCACCTTCTTGGAGCAATCTTGCAGCTTTCATCATGTCCTTTTCATCTTTGTTCTCATCAAATCTGGCTCTCAATAGTGTTGCCTGGTATCTGAACCTATGCCTGGAGGAAAAAAAACAACGAACTACGTTATAACGATTTTATTGCATTTCATGTTTCTGGAGATATAAACCGCCAACACCTTGCTTGACTTGAAATTTCTCAGTTTGACGTCTTTTCCGGCAGCACAAAGTGTTAGTCTACGTGATGCCCGGTGTGACCCCAAAACTCGTCTGCTCAAAATTGATATTCTCTTGCCTAAATTTCACGCTTATCAACGCCATTTTTCGTCGGTGGGTTACTCTATCGAATGCATTGATTATCAGAGAAAACTAAATGTTTACCTTGAGTGACAATACGATTCAATATGCCTCAGAGATTTCTTGTACAAACGAAGGACCCTCTGAGAATGGGTCAACATATTATTGGCCGACATCTTGCAAAAAGCAATGGATTGTTGGTAAATTTACAGAGGGCGCTATTTTGCCCTATGACCTCAGAGCGCGGCTTTTCAAAGTTTATGAATAAATGGTTTTCGTCTCCCAATATTATGCACTAACAAGTATATCACGATGCCTAAACGACCACATGGTGAATCAGACGAACGAAGTGGATTTAGAAAAACATTTCGAGATCTCGTTGGTAAGACTTTTTTTTTTTTTTTTTTTTCACCTTTTTTGTTCCGTTTCCCCACTTTTGTAGAGTTTAATTTTACCATGTACCTGTATCGGACCCATATTTACCAACATTTTGTTTTTAGTTCCAGGGATTAGCCTGTGCCCTACTAGTACTGATACTAGTGTATTAAAAGATGCAGTATTACAATTGGTGAATCACCATCAAGGAATCAATGAACTTTTGCAAGAGGTTAGTAGCTAGATTGGTTTTGTAACTGCAGTGTCATGTTTTCACCATCTGTGTATTGTAACTGCAGTGTCATGTTTTCACCATCTACATGTATTGCACAAACTCTCACACTTAGTGTAAATTTTATTCCACCAACTGGTTCTAAGTATTTTCATCTACAAAAAAATATTTTGTACCAAACTCAACCCGACAAGGAATAAATTCTTCAACACAATTGCCTCCTTTTATCCCACATTTGGTATGTTGAACAGCACCCACAAATCCTACTTTATCATGGATCCTCCATCTGATATTGCTCACTCGGTTGGGTCATACCTTTATCAAATGTACAATCTTAGAGAATACTTTGTTGCTGTGTAATTTTCTGTATGTTTTTTGTTTTTGTTCTTTGTTTTGTTTTTTGTTTTACTCATACCTTAAGAAATGGAAGGTTGTGGTCAATAAAATGCCATGTACTGAGTGTAAAACTAGAAACCTGGAACACCAAGGTAACACTACCAGTAAAATAATCAGTTAATATACAAACAACAAAACAGCCCTTCCACGAACTATATAAAGAATATTATATCAATATGTATATGGATACCTCATCAGCTTTAATTAGGAATTATGTTACTGATTTATGGCAATATAGAAAAGAAATGATGAATGTAATTTAAAGATATGTATTACTGTTTTCATGCTGCCGATACAAAGGTCGAATAAACATTATTATTATTTATGAAAAACATGAACAGAACTGACTCAAAATCAAGGACTTTCAAACTATTCAAAAAACAAACAAACAAACATTCAACAAGGAACCTATTTACAAAAAAATTGATGACAGAAAAGAAATCAGGTTGTTTGCAAGATTTAGAATGACTTGTTACAAGCTGAATATTGAAACAGGTAGACATCAAAGACCTAACATTCCACTGTGAAAGATTTAACAAAATTGAAGACAAACAACTACTGCACCTTATATGCAAACAACAGAAAAACTGTCATTGCAAAAGCCTAAACCTACATAAATAAATTCAAGATATGACAACCATGAAAAATTCATACAAATAATGAGCAACCAAACATATTAATAAAAATAACTGTAATTTACATTGAAAATTGTTAAAACAAAAGAAACTCAATATAAAATCATGTAAATACGCTTGTTCAGTTTTATTTATTTTTCAGTAAATACAATTAATGTAAACCTTTATTAACATGGTTACCAAAAAAGAAATGAAGAAATGTCACATTATCCTTACAATGTTAATAAAGAATTCTGTTCTATTCTATTCATACTGTAATTTAGGGCACAAAATTAAAAAACCCTTCTTGTCATGAAACGTGAACATGACATTTTGTTCAATAATACTTTGATTGTTTTTTCCAAGAAAAATGTTGTCATATATAATAAGACTAAAGTTGTCAGCTATGAAGAAGGGTCTAGCTTTTTTGAGGTGATTATGCATTTTTGAGGTGATTATGCATTTTTGAGGTGATTATGCATTTTTGAGGTGATTATGCATTTTTGAGGTGATTATGCATTTTTGAGGTGATTATGCATTTTTTTTACCCAGCTTATAATAAGCCCAGGGACCTCACTACATAAAATCTGAGTAAGTAAGAATGGGTGTATACGACCTTGGGAAAAGATGTTTAACATTGTAACCATGTTACCCCCCTCAAATGAGTTGTGTTATTATTGATTTCCATTTTCAATAATTTATAATGAAGAAACAAAAATGTTTCTAAAAATATATTTGATTACAATACTATTTACTAGTACATACCATCTGACTGAATTTGTGCTGGGTGCTATTATAGCTGAAATTTGGCTAGTAAGGCATCATATTACTATCTGTGATGACACACTGGATATAACATCCTCTGACCTGACAGGTCAAGTCTGTGTTGTACTGAAAAAATTCTCCAGAAATTGATGATGGTATTTTTTTAACACAATGCTGGTCACATTTTTGGCGGTGGGATTATACCCCGGGAGGGTCATATGACTGAGGAAGTATGGTACCGGGGGGTAATTGTGATTAAAATGAGAGGCATATTCACTGCAAATTTATATTTATATGCTCAACTTGCCCTTATTTGCAAAGACACAGACAATTGAAGTGGTTCAGCATTAAATTTTTTAACAAGTTGAATATATGCAGCAATCATCGTATGGCAGATAACATAATGCACATGTTCAATGTGTTGAATTTTAGGTAAAAGGGCTGTATAGTTTTATGTTACAGAAAGTTTTGTCACCAGCCAGATTTTGTGGGTCACCAAATGGCGATCTAGATGTGTTTTTTTTAATCACAATTCATTAAATTTAATCACCATGGCAAACAAAATGGTTTCAAACGTGAAGGCTGCCGTTGAAGGAAACAAGTTATTTATTTCCTAACGTGATCAGATAAAAAAAATATTTTAGCCAGCAATCAGAAATGAGATACAGATTTAGTGTTATCTGGCCAGAAGTGTATTAAGTGTTTAGATCTTTCACCTAAACTTTTATGTAAATCATGGAACTATAAACCCCAGGAAGAACAACCACTTCGTTTCCTTTGAACTATGATAGTTGCCGCGATGTCTAATGTTTATTTTGATTGTTTATTTCGTCGCATTAAAAAATAAGCCGATTTACGCAAATGAACGTTTATCTCCGACTATCGGTCATTTTCGGAGTCAATCAGGCGACTTCGGGAGATCACGTGATCGAGTTGTTTCGGTTATAGCATAAAAAAACAATGGCGCCAAGACAAAAACACTGATAAATGAGCGACATTCAACGAGAAAAAAAAACACATTGCCACTTCTGGCGATCCAAGGGAAACACGGAATAAGTCGGGATATCTCGACAACAAACAGCATACCAAACCCCATGTTTCGCAAACTTTCGCAACCTTATTTTTTTGAGGGTGAAAAAACAGAAGTATCT